CCGGCGGCTGGGCTCACCTCCGCCCTTCTCACAGCTCCCGGACGGCGTCAACATCTCCAAGGAGGCCCGGAGCGCCATCTCCCGCGCCGCCAGCGTCTTCGTGCTGTACGCCACATCCTGGTGAGGCGGGCGGGCTCGCCGGAACTTCGCTGGGACTGTGGCCTGAGGGAGGCGCCGGGAGGACCCCTCGGAGTTCGTGGCTCGGAACCCACCACCCCAGTAACTTCCTCGTGGAGGAAGGTTCACATCCCTCACCCAATGTTTGCAAATGATGAAACAGCAGAATCACTTGGCTTTAGCCCTGTTTTACAGGGAAGTGGGATTGGGGGGCGGGGGGTGGGGGAGAGTTACCTAACACCCGTGCGTCTAAGATGTGGGCGTTCCCATCCCACCCCCGGGTGCCCCTTCTTCCGCACCCGCAGTCGGCGAGAGAGGGTCTGACGGCCCCTCCTCTTTCTTCCCTCCACGTGTCAGTGCCAACAACTTCGCGATGAAAGGGAAACGCAAGACCCTGAATGCCAGTGATGTGCTCTCGGCCATGGAGGAGATGGAGTTTCAGCGGTTCGTGGCGCCGCTAAAGGAAGCTCTGGAAGGTGATGACCTTTTTCTGTTTTCTCAGCCAAGTAGATGCTTGTCCTGCGTGACCTGCCCCCTGGTCCTGTGTCTTTCTCCGCGTGGGTCCCTTCAAGTCCAGTAGGCAGGCGTGGGATGGGATGCAGACACGGGTCCGTGGGCGCCGCCCGAGGTCTGTTCTGTGGTTCCCCGCGGGTTGTGTTTCCCTTGCGCCCCGGCTTTCCCAGCTGCACCTTCCCGGTGAAATGAGCTGCCGCAGGCAGTCCGCGTGGCTCAGCCCTGCCTCCTAACCCCCGCCTTCCTCCCCCCGCAGCTTACAGGAGGGAGCAGAGAGGCAAAAAGGAGGCCTCGGAGCAGAAGAAGAAGGACAAGGACAGAAAAACGGATTCGGAAGAGCAAGACAAGAGCCGAGAGGAGGACAATGACGAAGAGGAGGAAAGGCTGGAGGAAGAAGAGCAGAATGAGGAGGAGGAAGTGGACAACTGAATGAACAGGGTGAGGAGACGGGCCCGCGGAAGGGACCACTCTGAACTGCAGTCTGGGGCTCTGGGGCGCCTTTCCCTCCCTCCCGGGCAGAGCAGTCTTAGGCCGATGGGCCGAGAAGATCGAACATGAAATCTGGCCAGAAGTTAGCAAAACCAGCGCCTGCCAGACTCGGAGCATCTGAGGAGCAGAGTCCTGTTTTGCTTCACCGGTCTGAAGGTTATGGCTTTTTTTGGACAAGAGGGGCTCTGAACTGACCATTCAATCAGCCAATACGATCTCATTTGCTTGTGTATATGATTAGGCAGTTTTTGATTCCCGGTTCCCTCCCACCCCCACCAAAAATAGGAACTTCCATGCCCCCTGCTGTGTTCCAGGTCACAGGAGGCCCTCCAGGCTCAGGAAAAACTGGGGCTTAGATCGTGGTCAGCCTGTTTGTACAGTATTTGGCAATACTGGCTCATTACAGTGATCAGAGCGGCTTAGTTTTAGGAAACGTAATGAAATCTGTGGTCTCTTCACTTGACAGTAACGTTAATTTTGGTTTCTACCAACACACTTGGCTTGGGGCCCTTCTGTATTGCCTGTCGGCATTTGACCTGTTAGGGGCTGCTCTCTGCACATAGGCTTGTTAAGTCCTCAGTACAGCGTGGACGTAGTCAAGCAGGTATGCCAGTGTCTCACTCTTAAAAAACACGTGGTTTAGTCTTCGATGCACCTCCCTGTCTGCCACTGCACAGCTTTAGAATCTGTTGTCACCTCCTGGGAGGTATAAAATCCCAGGCTTTCTCTTGTAGTCTGTGTCCCAGACTTGTGACTACGGCTTTTCGTTCTTCCAATTCATGACAAGTTCCAAACTTTATTTCTAGGCACAACTTTCTCTTTCTGTGCGTCTCACTTCCTGCCTCTCCTCTGCTCCCCATCCCCATTTTCTCCCTCCTTTTCTCCCTCTGCCAGTCCAGAAACTTGGATAACCTAATCTCGTATCTTTTGTGTGTTTTTTCTTTTTTTTTTTTTAATCTCATGTCTTTTAAAAATGGTTTTGTAAACCTCTGTGAAACGTAAAGGAAATCTGATGGTGCTCAGGAATCTAATCCTCTCCCTCCCCTGTCTTGCCCTCCTCCCACCTCCCCCTTTTAACTGCTTCTAAAGTACCTCTGTTGACCTTTCTTATGTTTGGGGAGTTTTTTCTCTCTTTCCATTTAGTGCTCCAAGCACTTTTTTGCTTGTCTCTAAGGCAGCTGACAGGTAGTGAAGTGTAGTTTGACACTGTTAATTTGTTAAATTAATTCAGTGAAAAATTTGTTGATGAATGTTGAGAAAATTATAAGGCTTTGTACCAATAAAGAGCACTCTTGTTAAAAGTGATGACTCCTGCTTCATCCTGCCTGTTTGTAGCATGCTTTTGGGGAATACCTCCTGATCAGGCCTTACACAGTTTTGGAGCTGTGGACTGGGCCAGACCTTTGTAAATATGGGATCATTCATTGCCTTGGACGACCAGCAGATGCTGCTCGTTCGCAGGCCAGGGAGCTGCTCTTCAGCCACCACAAGAGCTTTCATGGCTCTGCTGGACACCCTTTACATCAGTGGTTCCCAACGTGGGGGCGTGTGCCCCACAGGGGGGCAATTCGAGAATGAGTTATGAACAGTGACTTTTTTAGAGAGAAACATCGATCAGCTGCCTCCTGCACACCCCCTACTGGGGATGTGCCCACAACCAAGGTACACGCCCTTAACCGGAATCGAACCCGGGACCCTTCAGTCCGCAGGCTGACGCTCTATCCACTGAGCCAAACCGGTTATGGCGATTTGCTATTTTTTATATCACTTCATGTTACTATTTTTTTTAACAATAGTACTTCAGCTGTTCTTTTACTTTTCTCTTTCATGGATGCCATGTTCTTTGGAAGCTTGTTTAGACCAAGTGAATGGCCTTTTAGGCTTTCTCCACGTGAATAGGAGTTCACTTTTTGAATAATAAGAATTATATGTCATGGCGGTGGGGGGTGGGGCATCAGGATTTAGAGATGCTTGGGTGGGGCATGGCCAAAAAAAGATTGGGGACCACTGCTTTACATAATAGATGCTTAACAACTCCAAAATGTTTATTGAGTGCTGTGTGTCTGGTGTTGTATTACCTAATCTACATAGCTTTCTCAAATCATGAATTTATAAATAACATTTCACAAAGATGGAACCTCAAAAGTCATTAGATCCAGTGTGGTTTTTTTCCCTTCTCCACAGCAGAAATATCATTTATTAATTCCCATGAGCACCACTTGGCTAAGACCTCAAGTCCCATCTGGACTCCTGTGACTTCCTTTGAGTTCAGTTTCCTGCCTCGTCTCAGCTTCCCCTAGCTTCCCCTGTATACTGCTTGCCAAGTGGATCTTCCTAGAACATTGCTATTACAGTCACTTGATGTTTCCTATTAAATCCATACTGAAATGTTATTTCATAGCCTGCTTAAAGAAGGCTCACCTTACCATCTATTCTAATCTACTTCTACTCCAACAGAAGGCCACAGTCAAAAATGAATCCCCAAAAGAACTCCACTTCCACATGGCTTTAGTTCTTACCAAACTTTATCTAAGAAAAGTCATGTTTCCTGAGAGTAGGGACTATGACTTAAAACTAGAATTTAAGAAGTGGGAAGAATACTTGAGGTAATCCATCAGTTTTTCTCATCTCTATCATTCCTATAGTGGTATCTGGATTTTGAAGATTCCTTACTAGGCTAAGGTAATGTTTCTCTTTATATATATTGATTTCAGAGAGGAAGTGAAAGGGAGAATGATAGAAACATCAGTGATGAGAGAACCATTGATTGGCTACCTCCTGCCCCACACTGGGAATCAAGCCCACAATCCCCAGACATGTACCCCAACTGGGAATTGAAATTCGACTTCCTGGTTCATAGGTCTACCCTCAACCACTGAGCCATGACAAACCAGACTCTCTTTTTTTTTCTTCTTTTTTTTAACCACAGCCCTTCATGCCTAGAGATTCTAATCTGGATTTGGAGGGTGAGAGGGTTACCATCCTTACCCAAGCAAAATTACTTTTGCAGCCTAGTCTATTTTTTTATTTACAGGAAAACTGCAGAGTATAGAGAGGTCCAATTAAATTGGCCAAACTAGTTTGTATTTCATCCGTTTTTCCACTAACATTCTTTTTCTGTTCCAGGATCCAAACCAAAATACCACATTGCATTTGGTGAACCAATTTATTTTTTTAATCCTCACCTGGGGATATAGGCTTTGTTTTGTTTTTAATTGATTTTAGAGGAAGGAAGAGAGAGAAAAACATTAATGTGAGAGAGACACATCAATCAGTTGCCTCCCATACTCACCCCAACCAGGGATTGAACCTGCAACCTGGGTATGTGCCCTGACTGGGAATTGAACCCTCAACCCTTCCATGCACAGGATGACACTCTAACCAACTGAGCCACACTGACCAGGGCACCAATTTTTTAAAAATTGAAATTCACAGAACATAAAATTAACCATTTTAAAATGAGCAATTCAGTGGCATTCAGCAGATTTACAATGTTGTGCAACCACTTTTATCTAGTTCCAAAACATTTTCATCAATCCAAAATAAAAACCCTTACCAATCAAGCAGTTACTTCCCATGTTTCCCTCTCCCAGCCCTTGGCAACCACTAATCTCTATTTCTTTAATGGTCTTCACAGCACTTAGCACAATGCCATGTACCTACCTAGGAAGCACAATAGTTTAGGGGGAGGGGGGTTACTTTTTAAAAAAATTATACATACTAAAAGATGCAGATAAATTTAGAGGTTGATGAATTTTCACAAACTGAACACATCCATGTAACATACTTAGATCAATAAACAACATGACCAGCACCCTAAAAAGAAGCCCCTTTGGTCTCCCAGTCATTCTCTATCTCCCCAGTAGTAATAGCTATACTGACTTACAACAGCACAGATTAATTTTGCCTGGGTTTGTATTTCATATAAACGAAATCATAATATGTACTCCTGTTTGACTACTTCTGTTCAATATTATGTTTAAGATTTATTCATATTGTTGCATTCACAATACTTTTTTATAGATCAGAGTGAAAGATTAAGGTTAAAATTTGCAGAGGGTGGGGGTGGGAATAGGTCTTCCAGTCAAAAAAAAAAAAAAAAAGAGAGACACATGGGAAAAAATAGATAACACCAAACAGCAACATTTTAAAATTTTCACCCTGTTTGGGCTCCTAGAGGTAAGGTAGATGGTCCTAATTATTTTTAGTTATCAAACTCAGAGTTGAAACAGGTGTCATGAAAGAAATGTTGGGCAGTGGGTCTAAATTAAGGGGGAGGGGGGAGCAGTAATTATCTCTATGAGTTGAGTATGTTTAGTAAGCTGTGTGTGGTGGGGCAAATTTTTTAATCTCCCTGGAAATTGTTTTCCCAATTTGTAAAATGAGGATAATAACTGTTGTCAAAATCAGATAAGTGAATATAAAATGTATGGTACTGTTTCTGACTCTAATGCACACATACAAAAAAACACACACATTACTTCCTGTCAACTGGACACAAATGAATCAGGAGGCTTTGCTAAAATAAATTTTTATTCAAGTGTCTAGGTTTGCAAACCTGAAACACAACTAACACGATACCGAGTTTTGCCCTGGGGCACATACCCAGGTTTCCAGTTAAGTCCAGGTCCGCAAAAGATATCTATCTATCTATCTCCTACCCCCCCCCACCCCCCAATCAATTTTTTTTTAAAGCTTAAGAGTTTTTGAGTAAAAAGCACATTTTTTAAAGAAGAGTCAGTTCTGCATTCTTAGCCTCTGGGTTGATCCAAGATGGTAATCTTCCAGGTCTGGTTTATTAACTGCGTTGCTCAGATAGTTATCTATGGAGGTCATGTATATCCAGGCATGGATGCACAACTAAAAAGTTTAAGTTCCCAGGCTAGTTAGCAAGAATAGAATCGTTTCCCTATGCCTCAGCCTACTTGATTTTAATAATTTAGCAGCTTGACCACACTGATTCCATTTTATTTCTTCACTCTTCCTCATTCCTTTCTACCACCTTCCTTATTTGAACACAAATCAGAACTCTAGTAGCTAGGAACTAAATGATGTCCTATTTCCTTAGCATTAAGCCTCTCTACCTTTTTAGCTTGAAGTATAAAACAGGTTTGGGTTACAGATTATATAAAACAGTTTGGGTTACAGATTATGAGAAGCAAAATTTGAGTGTAAGTGTAGTACAATCGACTGGCATCTTCACGATTCAGTTAGCTTTTCCATGACCCCTGATTCACCTTTATAAAAGCATTCCTTTGCCCTAACCGGTTTGGCTCAGTGGATAGAGCATTGGCCGGTGGACTCAAGGGTCCCGGGTTCGATTCCGGTCAAGGGCATGTACCTTGGTTGTGGGCACATCCCCAGTGGGGAGTGTGCAGGAGGCAGCTGATCGATGTTCCTAACTCTCTATCCCTCTCCCTTCCTCTCTGTAAAAAATCAATAAAACGTATTTTTTTTATTTAAAAAAAAGCATTCCTTTGCTAAGGTATTGGTCCCGACCACCACTTCACCCAAGCCCACAAAGCCTCACTAGATTCCTCCCGCCCTGCACGTGCTCTGTCCCAACTCCCCCCACCCCGCCCCCACACACCTTTGGTCAGATCTCCCATTGTACTCATCCTGAGGCCTCAAGTGCCCATGTAATTCAAATCACATATCCCAAGCCATGGCACAGAGTAGATCCTCGGCAACTACGATGGATTACATTTTCTCTTAAAACTTGGAAGGCGGCTGGTGCTGAAATAAAAGACTTTCAAATGCTCAGTCCGCAAAAACGAACTTAGCAATTGCGTTGGGCATCACGGTGTTGTTTTAATGTCCTTGACGTCGCACTATGTCAACAAATAATTAACCAGCGCCAAGTGTGCTGTACATTGGGAAGACGAGGACCGCAAAGAGACCCTCGGGGCTGTCACCGCTCCGGAGAAGAAAGGTTCACTCGCCGGGACCCCTGAGCCTCCCCCGCGCTGCC